GGAGGAGCCAGCCGTGGGGGGGCACACCTGTACACCGGCGCTTGGGAGGCTGAGGCAGGAGGACCAAAGCAAGTTCAAGGCCAGCCTGAAATACATAGTGAGATCCTGCCTCAAAAAAACAAGCAAAAAACAAAATGAAAAGGTGGACAAACCGAACAAACTGCTGGGGGCAGAAAAGAGCCTAGCTCAAGGCAGGCTGGCAGGAAACAGAACGTTGCTATTTTTCCTTTACCTTCAACATGGTATGTAAAAGTGGTTTTTTAAAGAATAAAAAGACTGTATTTTGCCAAAAACTCTTTCTTTCCTCTGAAACTCTCAGGGCACATGCAGCCGTAGAGTCAGCGGGCCACGGACGGCTCTCCGCTCAGTGGCCAATGATCCTATAATTAACTACGAGGAATCTGGCATCGGCACATTATCCTATTTCCCCTCTAGTCTATTATTGATGATTTGACAGAATAATGGATCATTTTCTTCCTTCTGGCTGCCTGCCAGACTATGAATACGGAAAAAGAAAGACGCTCAACCTTCACGGATTAGCCTGTTCTAATGCAAGCGGAGAGACTACCTCGGCCCTGGGCCTATGATCATAAACCTTCCTAGGACTATGGTATTATATTAAATGCCAGCAAATAATCAAATTCAGAGCTGAAATTTTAATTCCTAGGAAGTTCTAGTAAGACAGAAAAATACATATGAAAATATATAAGATTTGGATAAAATACTAATGATAGCTTGGGCAGGTTAATCCCTCTGCTACAGAGAAGCTATGGAATGAGGTGAACTGCATATGCCTCATTACACTGCGGAGAACTAGAATACCTAGAGAAAATGAAAGAAAAAGAAAGGATGCTCATGGAGTGATAAATGATGAAATAATTAAAAATTTGCTATACACGGTCCTCCAGAATATCTTTCAATTTCTTCAGTGAGGCGTCCCTCCCTGCCAGGAGGACATTGATTAGATTTTAGAATATTGACTCAAGGATAAACTTCAAATAAAATCAACCTTCCTACAAGACCCTGTTCTATGGATCATGATACACAGATAAGAAGAGTTAAACACAGGCTGAATATGACAGTATCTTGAGGTTTCAATGTTATAGGAAGTCTTTGTAAGCTCTTCCACTCATTTTTTTTTGGAAGGGTACTGGAATAACAGAGTATTATAGGAAGCAAAATTCTTGTATGATATTTGTGATTTCTGAATCATCTTAAAATTACACAATAATCTTCATGAAATCAATATTCTGCTCTAAAGTTACAAACAGAAATCTCTTGGTAAGTTTCCAAAGTTCACACACTGCATTTTGTCAGATCACAAATATCTCCGCTTGATCACAGCTCAGTGATAACAAGTACGGGGCAAATGTCTCTTCAGCACAATCAACCCGGACATTACGGTTTCAATAAACTGAAGAAGTTCAGGGCTACATCACGCTGCCTTTCCACTTTCCCTTTATCTTCAACTCTTTGTATCTCAAATAGTGACATTTACCTTCTAAGGAGCTGAAAATAATGCTTAGAGGACAGAACAGAGAGAAAGAGAAAAAAGAAACAATAAAAAATAACCACTGACTAACCTCTTATTCCCTACCGCCCTTCTACCTGTTAACCAACTAGAGCGGAATGAACTCAGACAATTTATGTCTTTCGCTGAATGCTGTCACTTAACACCCAACAGCCATGGGACACAATCAGTACATATTATCACTATCAAAACTATCTCCAGTTTCAAAAAACTTTCTTTGAGAATTTGTACAGGTTAAAGCAGCAAAAGTCGTGAGTCCTCCTTCTCTGATGAATGTACCTCATCACAGTGAGAAAACAGAAGTGCTATCTACTTCTTGCTGGAGTTCTCCACGTCTGAAATACGCAGAGCTCCTAACAGTGGAATAGGGGTACCCTCTAGCTGAGTGCCACTAAGGCTACCAACAAATATATTCTTACATGGTACTGAGGAGTAAAAAATGTTTCACATTTCTCTGCAATAACTTTGAAAATCACCAAAGTGAAGAACTTTCCCTAAGTGTTGCTAAGACCTCCCTGCTTTGCTAGCTGTTTCATAGTAACACGGCCACAGAAATCTTTCTTGAAAACTCCTACTATGGATGTGCACTCACTCAGGACAAGTGGCTTACGGGGTTAAGAACACTAACTCATGCTGCAAAAATGACAGTTTATTTCAGAGAGTACAGGCAAAGAACAGCTCATCAGGAGTGCCAAGCACACAGCAAAAGTGAAGCACTCTGAACATTCCCAATGAAAACCCTGGGTGCTGGGGACGAGCGTGGGAGTTTATTACGTCGATCACCAATAATGTTGACACTATCAAAGTTGGTGAACTTCTCAATTAAATAACAGTTATTTAGATTAGCGCTCGTGTCAGATGGCAAACAGTGCACTTATGAGAAAACTGAAAGGAAATGCTTGAGGCCTTAACCTAATGACTTCATGCATGTAAGTGTCCAATATATACTGACCCATAACTGCAATTGGGGTCACCATATGGCAACAACTAATGAAGTAACACACATGTGCACACAGACATACATGAGCACACTTCTTGTATTCATGAAAGGACAAATGGTGAGATGCTGGCCACGTGGATGTTATGATTAAGATGCTGGAGGTGTCTCAATAACTTAATACTCAGTTGGTTATCATGTAGAAGCCCACAGTATTTTTGAGCTGAGTTTTCAGTACACAGGGATATTTTATTTTTAATTTTTTAAGAAACTAAATTATTTGGGGATGTTACAAATTCTAGTACAATGAAAATATCCTAGAGTTCAAGCTGTTAGATTTGTGGCTTACCATGGATTATAAGAGGAGGACACGATTTAAGCAATTTGTACACATAGAGGGAGAATTTCCATGGATGTACAATTCCTCTGGCAACTCTTTGTGTTTTCTTTCACTTACACGTATAGGCCAGTGGTGGCAAACATCAGCACCTGTGCCATAGCGGGCTGTCTGTATCATTGAAAGCTCTAAAAGATTTTCCAACCCTGAGGGCAGGGGTCTAAATTTTCAACAGACACCAAGAATAAAGTCATACATGATATATCTGTAGGTAAAATGTTCATTGAGAACAAGAACATGTGTTGCCAGGCACAATGGTTAATTTTATGTGTCAACTTGACTGGGACATGTGGTGCCCGGACATTTGGCCAAACACTACTGTGACTCTGTCTATGGACGTGTTTCTGGGTGAGACAAACACTTGAATAGGTACACACACTGCCTTCCCTATGGTTGCGGGCCCATTCAGTCAGTGACAGTCAGAATAAGACGAAAAGGCTCAGAAGAGAACTTTTCCGGCCCCTCCATCTGATCCGGAGGGCTTTTTCCTTATTTGTCTTTCCGGTTTGTAGACTTAGATTAGACACTGGCTCTTCCCAACACTCTGCTGTCGGATTTCAGGTACAGTTCACACTGCAGACGTGGACCGGAACCACACGTCAGCCTTGCAGAAGAGCTTGAGACTTCCCTGCCTCCGCAATCATGACAGGCATTTCCTTAGAAGTTTTTCCTTACACACACGCGCGCGCACGCACCCATAAACCTCATGCGGGGTTCCCTAGAGGCTCCCTAAAGCAGCAGGTGCTGGGGGGAACTGCTGACACCGAGTGGAGCGCTGAGGTCAAGTGTGACTGCGCCCCCTTGTGGGAATCAACGTCCTGTACACAAGTGGCAACAGAAAAAACTTTTCCATTTTTTTGCCTTATAGTAAAAAGAAGGGAAGTAGATTATTGTGAGAGAAAATGAGGCCTAGAAATGGAACATAAGGATTCTAAAATGGCATCCCCTTCAATCAGTAACAGTTCCGTGCCTCACAATCTTGTAACCTGAACAAAGTCGTTTCACTATTCTCTCTCAGAGTTTTAAAGGGGAAAGTATGACTATTGATAGTGGATATATTTCATAGACGCGCTATGAGAACAAAAGAGCTCAGTGCAGTTTCTACTGTCGCATGATTTAAATTCTGAGCTGTTGCTGCCCTTAGGTCGTGGCTCCATCCAAACACTGCTTCCCTGGAATTGGCACCTTTATATGGTGAGATCATGTACTCTGATTCCAGTCTGCTTTTTTTTGAATGTTAAATATTTGAGAGGTTGTTTCAGCCATTAAACTATAAAGTTATGGCCAAAGTTACTACTACCTGTGTATATCCTGCCGCAAAAATTAATTACTTCATTTAGAAGAAAAGGGGTTTAAAACCCATGCCTGAAAGCAGGAGTATGCCGTATGGTCACCAATGGAATGTTTAAAAATACAAACGCTAGTGCTTCACCCCTGACATTCACATCAGAATCTAGGCTGAGAAGAAAAAAAGCCATGAGAATGTTAAAGATCATCATTAGTCATCTAGATTTTCAGTATAAGCTATTAGATAATTTTTATGGTTCATTGTATATGTAATACTTTGTATTTCTAATCATTTTTATCTAACATCTAAAGTCCTTTAAAGGAGTCTTAGTATCATTTCTAATCCATTTTTAAAAACTAAAGCAAAACCAATAATAACTCCCCCCCAATTAGATTCTTCTATGGAATAAAGTCAATTATGTAGAAAACAGAGATGCAAACACCAACATCTCCCACCTCACCAGCAATGTCATTCTGGCTACATTTATCACTACAAAGACACCTGATGGTCTCTAAATGGTATCTTGGCTTCTTTTAATAAATCCTCACCAACCTCAACTAAAAGTTTAGAACAGTTAACCTTTAAAAAAGTCTGCTCAGGCACTGAAGACATAAATAACTGGGTTAAGAATATTCACTAACAGAGACAAGGGGACACAGGTAATGTCACACTCAGGCCACACCCCCCATGCCAGCAACACAGGTACTGGGAACTGAAGCAGGATACAGTGTCAGCCTGACTTAGGGGATATTATAGCATTTCCAAGTATGGCTGGATTAAGCGTAATAGCACTTGTGTTTTCTCCCAGTGAAAGTCAATGAGCAATGGTCTTGCTTCTACCGCTTACTTTGATTTCTTCATGTACAACCAGTAGACAACACCAGCAACAAGGGCAGCGAGGAGGAGACCCACAACGATTCCCACGATTAGCTTTGCCTGGTCGTTCACCTTCTCTCTGTTTTCATCTACAACAAAGAAGAGAAGCCCAGGCCATTACAGACAGTGCTAAGGGTTTTAAAAAAAAGATAGTCTAGCTACTACTTCATATTAAAAATGACTACGGCTCACTGTTCTGATTAACATGCAAATTTGTGATTTTAAAGGGTAAAATTTTAGCATTCTTGCTAGCTTGTCTCATTTTGTAGTTTAATTCAAGTCCAAATTGTGGACTGCTAAAAAGTTACTTATATGATGGCACTTCATAAGTTTTGAGCTGAGAGTCAAGGAAAGGAGTGGGCAGCAGAGTACCTACCACTGATCTCGTCTGCCTCATCGTGTTCTGGAATACTTACTGAAATGAAAAATGTTAATATGGAATTAAAAACAAAATCTGTTGATATATGAAAGTCACCTTTACCATTATAGTATGATGTCATAACAGTCAGATAAAATGTCTATTCTACAGCTAAGGGTAAAAAAATCATAGTTAATAGAGCATGAACTTCCCTACAAAGAAATCAGTCTTAAGGAAAGGGGAGCAGTTAAAATGCAAAGTTAGGAACCTATCGTGGAAAATTTCACAACTGACAGACTGTCGTACTGATCTGAAATCCGTATTAATTACCCACTATCTGCCCACGTTTTAAAATTCTTTCTTAGGAGGAACATGTTGGCGACTAGGAAATATAGATGCTGCCCTCCTACTCTTCTTGAATTCTCCTACCCCCACGCAAGAGAATTTTTATCCTCTAGTGTCAAGGACTTACCACCAGAGATGTTTTCAAAGTGGGGGTAGGGTAAAGACTAGGGATACCCTAAAGATTAAGAATCACACACTGTGTGTGATTTCTGCCAAAGCCCTTCGGACAGTTCTGACAGTGTCATGCTCTCGGTCAAATGTAAGAATCACTGCTGGTTCTGTGGGTTTTTAGCCAACTAGATTCAACTATAGTATTTGCAGTGGTTGACTATGTCAATCTGAGTAAGAGAAGTTTAACGAAACTGGCTCAGCAATTCCATACCCTAGGGTACGGAAGACCCCGGGCAGCTCGTCATCGCCTGGATGGGATAAAGGGGAAATGAAGAAGGACGGATCTGCGTATGTCTCTTTGGAGCTCCAGTCTTTAATTTCACCTTGGACATCATCTCCTGGCTTCCGGTGCAGACTCTTTCGCCTCTGGTGCAGATCTCCAGGCTTCCGGCATAGACTCTTCAGCCTCCCCTCGAACACCCGCTGGCCTCCCACAGGACTCCCATGACACTGCAGTGAGCTCCAGACCTTTGCCCGGATCCTTCGGTCTCTTGTGTGCAGATACCTCTGCCTCTTCCTCATCCGACCCTGGGTGGCCACTGTAAGCCGATCTTGTAAACTCTTATATATCCTGTGTTCTATCTGTTTCGCTAGTAAACACTGACTGATACAATATCCAACTGCAAAACTCTTCTTCAGAGCGTATGGGCTTGCATCAGAGCTGCCTACAATGACTGGTAAAATGTAGACTCCCGGGGTGCTCCTCATACACACTAAGGAATCACAGAAGGTGTTCACTGAATTTGAAAGTAACTGTGCGTTGATCAAGGACACCATTTCAGGGTGCAGAAAAGTGAGGCAGCTCATCTTATGGGCTAGAGCAAAACAGCGACTTGTGTTCAGGAAGACAGGATGAGATCCCTTCCAAATCAATACTTGTTGAATCACATTCTGAGACGTCAACGCTCCTATCTTAGAGTTAAATTTATTTCGTTCTTTTCTCCTGCCCAGTCCTCAGGCCTTTATATTCAAGTCATAATCCGTCAGGGATGGTTATCTGTATGCAGTTATTTTCTGCTAGCTTCCACTAATTCCTAGCTATTATATCCGTCATCTGTTAATGTCACGCACAGGATTTCAACGGACAGAAGAATAAAACTGGGCAGGTCGGTTAAGATGCTGTCCAGAAATGAACCTCACCGTAGCCCAGTCCTCACTGAAGGCTGTCACACGATGGGAACAATACCAGCATCGTAGATGGGGGCCCATTTCATATTATGTCATAATTACTTCTAGAAAGCCTAATATTGTTATATGTGTATTATGCTGGTTTCAGTACTGAGAGATTTTTCCATTTTCTCTGAGATAATTTCACTTATCTGATCTGGGCTATGACTCAAATATGATATGAAAAAAGCAATTTTTGCAACTAGGTTTTATGAATTCTGATATTAGTTGGTATTAATTTACTGAATGACATTAAGCTTGTGGTATTTCTGTACAAGGATAAATACCCCAAAGAATTGGAATGTAAAATAATAAGCAGTGAAAAATTTACCAAATTTAAAACTTTTGCAAAAAAATTCAAAGCTAATTTTTGAATTATTTCTACTCTAAACAAAAAGATGGGTTAAATAAGAACAACTTATTTCTTATTTTCTGCTGCTCTTGGGAAATATTCCTGTACAGGACAAAGTCTGTGACCCATAAAGTATGAAATGATTTAACTGTCAAGACAAGACTATTGTAAGAATGAAAACCAGGAAAAAAAGAAAAAAAATCTTATGGTGATGATACCAAATGCAAAAGAAATAAATAAAACTTACCATAATGCAGTACAGGAAGATGGAATTGAAGATTTTAAACTAATGAAGAATAACTTCAAATTTTCTTACTTTTTAATGCCAGAAATGAAATACTCACTAGCAGAGACATTCAAGGAGTTTACTGTTCTCTCCAGCTGGTTTTCTGCTGTGCAAGTTAAGGTAACATTCTCCTCAGGGGAAATGATAATTTTACTATAATACCTGCCATTGATATACGGAGACTCCTCTGTCTGGAAGGAAGGAAGGAAGGAAGACAAGTTTAGAATGGAGCACTTTTAAAAGCCAGGAAAAGACAGCAGTGGGTAGGGAGGGCAGGGGCGGTGTGGTGCGGTGCTGTGTGCTGACCTCCGATATGCGTTATATGTGTTTATTCAGTAAACACGAACTGGTACAATATGGATACATGACCATGCTCCCCGACACCTACAGCAGGCAGGAAACACTTAGTGAAGCCATGTGAGATTTCTGTGGATATTTTTACTGTGAATTATAATCATCAATCACTTTTTTTTCCAATGAATGCATAGTTTTGACAAGATGACATTTGTTTTTAAAGTAGTTACTATCTACTTACCAGTTTTCATTCAGTGAGCTTTTAAATTGAATTGTTTGTGGATTTGGTCTCACTGCTCTTCACCACAGGGATTAATTCCCTTATCTTAAGCCATTATAGAGCACAGGAATGTATAATTTGTTTATCGTGAATAAAACAGTTTTCCTCTAAAATTTTCTGTGCAAAATAGAGAGCATTTACCTAAAAGTGGACTGCTGAATACATTTTATTTTTGCAAGTTGTGAATAAGAACAATCATTGCATTTCATTCCTTCTAATGTAAGGAACAATCCACTTTTTTATTTTAAAGAGAATAAAAAAAAATAACAAGAACATAGACAAAAACAAAACAACACAAAAACAATAAAAATAGTACAGGGTTTCAAAACAACATGATAGGAGTTCACAGCGGTTGTTTCATTACATATTGCTATCGTCAGGAAAGATGCTCAGATTACCCGATGTAAGTATGCAAGGTTGATCAAACCATGAGAATAATCCACTTTATTCTCATCCCCAGGGTTTGATTCTTAAGCCCAACATGACGGAAGGAAACCTATACCTGTACTCGTTTCTGGGTCATTTTGTTCACCTTGTGTCCTACTTTGTTCTCTGTTTTATCTCTTTGTAACTGAGCTCTAAGTGCCTTGAGGGCAAGGCTGGGATAGCTTTTAGTCCCTATGGGCAGAGGAGGGGTAGAGACGCCTTTACCTACGAAATAGTACGTTCATCATGTATTTGAAGAGCAGACAAATAAAAAAAGACTACGGTGGATTGGTACGGACCTAGAGCAGGAAAAATAACGTACTGCTTAGTGGGCCAGAATCAATCCTTCTCGATGATGAAGAATGGCATTGTTATTTTAATCATCTTAGGAAATTTACCCGATATTTTTTCACTTCTTACTAGGATTTTTTACAGACTTTCTCACTGAGAGGTTTCACTACGCTAATCTCTAGAAAATATGTTTGCTCACTTCTAGAACGGCCTTTTAGAGCTGTATATTCTTTCACTGGATGCTTATTTGGTGCCGTTTTTCTGGTTTCGACACCCATGTTCCTCCAAGGTTCTTCGCTGTACTTACCACGCGGCTGAACTAGAGAGCAACAAGAATAGAGGAGCAAAGAAACATTCCTCCTCTTGTAGCATTTGATGCTAAAAACAGGTCTGAACACTGTCAGAAATTCAGGTCTTTATTGTGCATCAAGAAGAGGCCTAAGGGGTCACTGGCCTCTCTGCCCGCCCCCTCTGGCCCGGTTCTCCTGTGTCCCAGGCACACCTAACCAAATCCCAAGATATTTCCTTCAAGGGCGACCACCGCTTTTGGGCCTTTCTACACCTGTACTCAGGCAACTATATATGCAAACGCCAAAATCTACCTTGCACTACAAAAGCTGTATCACATGAGCTGAACCAGCGGCTCAATTTCCCAAGACAGAGGAAAAGTGGAGATTTTTCCTTTAAAATTAATTTGCAGCAGTTTGCTTTATACAAGTCTCCTCAAATTTTAAGTGGGTCCAAACCTGGGAAGAAGGCAGGACAGGAGATGCAAATAATTGAATTGCATCTGGATGTTCTTAAAGCATCTTCACTGGCTCTACTAAGATGAGGAGACACGAACACTTCTGCAGGCAAAATGGAATTAACAAGTACGGTGGTAATCCAAGAAGACTAGCAATTTAATGCAATTACATTTTCTGAACCTGCATACCATAGTGATAGGACAGATTTGATTTTGGGGGAAGGTCAAAGACAGTATTAACAGAAAATTACCAGTACTGTTCGTAAGTTCTTAGGCCTTTACTATTACTAAAGTATCCTACAAAGGGTACAAAGTTCAGCTCAGTTCATGTTTCTTGTCCAGAAGGGCACAACCTAGATGCTGTCTGTTCCTTGCTTTATTCTGGCCCTTGCTCTGGCACAAGCAAATCATGCCGTATGCTACAAGCTGAGCTGTTTGTTGTTACCCTCCAGGGCCCAGTATTAAGAGGAAAACTCCCTTAACATACATAAATAAGCAAAGTAACGGAGGCTGCGTATACTCACATGTGTAAGTTTATAATGCAGAAAAGTATATAGCTTACTTTGTTAATCACCCAAGTTTCAGGAATTAATTAGCCCATGTAGAAACTCCCAACTTGAAATCTTTTAAAAACAGATTCTGAGCACAGCGTTAGGCTTCCTCTATTCTCTGTGGCCCTGAGATTTAAAATTCTCTTTGACCCATACTGCTTCATGAGAATGAAGAAGTCAGCAGGAGCTGTCTCAGAGTGAGCTGCAAATTCCACGCGGTAACAAACCAGCTTACACCGTTCATAGCTAAATCAAATTCCATACTGGACCACGGGCAGCGTGTAACAGGAAGACAGAGACTTGCCTGGTTTATGACGCTTCCGCTGCCAGTAATGGTCCACTGTATAGCTGGCTTTGGGAAACCTTCCACGTGGCAGATTATTGTTTTAGACAGTCCACTGGGGTCGGTTTTCTTTGTCATTTTGATTTGAGGTTTTCCTAAAATATTACAATTAAAATATGAGAACGAATTAAGATCATCAAAGAGAGAAGATAGCAAACTTTTACAGAAAAATTGGAATCGGTGCCTAAGAATTTCACTACCTTCTACAATAAGAGTCAGGGACTCCCTTTTCTTGAGTCCTTCCACCTCTTGCAGAGCGGTTTCACAAACATAATTCCCAGCATCCTGATAGTGAAGACTAGCAAATGACGGGCTCGATCGAAGCCTGATGTTGTCCTGACGAAATGAAAAGCAGATTACTGTGCAGGGCACACACAGAACATTAGGTATCTTTATTACATAACAACCAGGCTGGACACTGTTCTAAATCTTTTCTTCAGTTCAGATGCTTTCAAAGTAGGTTTCCTTTTTCCTTTGCAGTTGCGGAGTCAAACATGCCAGAGCTATATTTCAGATGCTTCTGTTATGGAACCGATAATTGGGAACGTGTTCATAAAATTCTGAGACTCTAGTTCCTTTATTTGTGAAGTGGAGTTATGTTTTTTCATCACACTGAACTGCTGGGAAGACTGAATTATGTAAATAATGCAATGTGTTTACAGTAAGGACGCATTTTAATTTTAGTAGATATAGAATTATCAGATATGGATTTGTGATACCTACTCAATGATAGGTACAAACGCCTGACAACAATTTTACCTGATACCATAATTGACAAACGGGATTCACTACAGAGCTACAGTGACTATAGTTAGGACGCTTTTTATAAGAAGTCTTCTAATATCGATGAAATTAAATATAATGTTTAATTTTAATCAACAACAGTGACTGCAGTTGACACAGACACTTGCTTTGGTAACCTTGTACCAAATACAGCTCGCTATCGGTATTCATACACTTATTTTCTTAGAACTTGTCTAATTGGTGAGCGTTAATTGCTACAAATATATCATGGCATTTTATCTGACTGAACAAGAAGTCGTGACTAACAGTGAAACAGGAAATTGAGCTGTAAGCGCAAGAGAGCAAGCAACAGAGAATGCGGTGTTGAAAGAGATCACAAAGCAGACAGCAAAGCAATATAAAGTAATTTATATTTTCTTTAAGAACAAACTCTAGCAAATAAATTCATGCACAATTTTTCTACAGCTAATTCTTGTGAGCCAACACTCAAATGGTACATTCCTGGGTAAACAACGCTCCCGTCACGTGCTAGGTTCTGGTACAAATACACCGGATATTTTGCTACATGAGCCAAAGATTTAAGTGGAGGGACCATAATCGCACCCTTCTCCTTTAATGATAACCTTTGCACCTCATATTAACCCCATTTCTTCACTCTAAAACAACAGCAGTGATTAGGCTCCCGAGTCACGGTCATGGTCTTTCTTTCAGACAGTTACGTGAAAATCAGCCCTCATCCAGGGAATACGAAAGCCCTAGTGTGTTCCACTATGGCCCTGGAGGGAAAAGGATTTCTAAGTTTAAGAATATGCTAATCCAGCAGCACCTGTGTTCCGAAACTTCAGGGTAGTTTTAATACCGCAGAGGCAAAGAGCACATGATCCCACTGCAGGGACTGCACTCAAGAGGCTCCGGCCCGAATCTCTGCTCTCACACTTAGGAGCGTTCTGGTTTCTCTCGCCCTAATTTCTTTATAAGTGACTGGGGGAATAATAGGTGATCTGCATACGGGGCTGTTAGAAGCTTCCTGTGAAGACAGTGTGACTTCAGATGCTGTAAACTGTTGCGTCATAGAGTGTGTTTGTGTACATGCATACATGCATGTGTATCGTTATTCAGTATACACATATAAAGTAACGCAGTAAATTAAGTTTCAGAAAATCAATTATGGATGCTACAGTTACTGAGAAAGTCTAATGTTTTATCCTGGTTTGACGTGTGTGTGTGGCGGGGAGGCAGAGAGACAGAGGCAAAGAGAGAGACACACAGAACAAGAAAGAATGAGTGTATGTTTTCCATTAATATACATATCTGGATTTAATACGAAATGCAAAAGAACTCTAAAAGAAATCCTCCAAACAGCAGGACAGTATCAAAATTTTACTTACCTTCATCCAAACCACAGTGGCATTCCTACTGGCAGATATCGTGCACGACACAGGCAAGGTGTCCCCAATCTGCTTGGTCACCTCCCCACTCGGTTTTAAGGACAAATCCAAATCTGTGAAGCAGAGAATCTGCTTGAGATACAAACTCTATGAAAGTAAGAGAGTCAAAGTATTCATGGTAACAAAAGGAAAGAATCCTTCTAACTGCATTTGCAAAATTCAGAACTGATTTATTTGACTAAAATGACTAGTTTTTCAAGCCAATTTTGAGATCAGTGGGCAAGTAAATGTTCAATCTAATTGATGAAGCATATATTTGCAGTTAACATAACTGATGTTTTTAGAGCATATAAATATTTCTTGGGGCTCTATAACCTTAAGAAAAAACCCTTTAAATCACTACTGGAAGAAAATAAAGAAAGATGAAGACTAGGTAAAATCAAGTATTTTTGGACAGCAGGTGATAAATTGAAAAACCACAAGATAGTATATGTGTTTCTTCAGAGAGAACTGACAGGCAGTTAGATCTTTTTTGAAATGCTATTCCATTTTCTCATGCTGTTGAAATTTTAAATAAGATCTATTGTTAGGTACACTGCCAACAGACACTAGTTTTTAAAAAGCGCATGCACACACCTAAAGGTGTACAATCCTTCATTTGGATAACAACTTTTTCTAAAAATATTACCTTTTTAGTATGCGCTATATGAAGAAAATTCAATCCAGTTGAACAAATATTTATTGTACAACAATAATGTTCCAAGTACTAAGGTAGCTGAGTGAGTACCAATTTAGTGAGGGAGAGGTAATCTGCACTCAATCCACTGTAATCCTTGCCCCGTGAAATAACCACGTAGGAGCAAACTTGCTACAGATTAGGAACTCGATCAATATTTGTTGGAAGACTAAAGTCAGGGCCTTTAACAGATGTTAAAGTACACGGAGTGCAGAAAACAGAGCCAAGTTGGGTTCCGAAGTACGAGTCCCAGCCCTGTACGGGAGGCATTATATTTCTGTGGCCCCTCACGGTTGAAAGGTACCAATGTAGGCAATACCTTTGCCACGTAAACAAAAGCAAAGAAATGAGACAGCTTGGCAGGTTTCACGATGCAAGTTATATGGTCCAATCGGCGCTGACTTCTGGGAGGTACATCTATATATTTTGTGAGGCCGGGCTACAGAGGACCAGATTTGCTATTTTGGGACTTAGGACTTTATTCTACAGTGGAGGCTTGTTCTTGTGCTTTATGCTCCTCCCTCGTTTTCCATATTTTAGCTGAAATTGATTGATTGTTCGCAACATTATTTTTAATGTCTGTCTCCCTTTTTAGACTGTAAGCAACATGTGGGTATCGATCACGGCTTGATTCTTCTCTAACGCGTGCACGGAGCCTGACCTAGGAATAAATGAAGGGAAGAAGCGTGCTTTCTCAGTTTCTCAGTAATCTTCTAAATGCACCAGCATTCAGGGAAGTGGAGATTGCTCGGAATATGTGGGTGAATTGCACTGAGATGAAAACATTTGCCAGGGTAAGCTAGGAGATTTTAATCAGTTAGTTAACGTGTCAGGGCTAAGATGAAAGACTTGAAAGGACAAAGATGGATTCTGAAAATTCTGATGAAGCATCCGTGTGTGCACGGATGGAGAGGGAGGGACGGTGGCTGTTTTGCCAGCAGCCAGGCCCTGCTGTGAGAGCCGCGTGGCATGTGGCTCTGCAGAGCTGGGAGCGCACGAGCTGCTGCTTCCCCCCTTGCGCTCCTTTAGTCAGCTACGGGAGGGACGCAAGTTTGATTTTTGGAAAATAAGCAATCAAGGGTAATTGGGAAAACGGGAATTTTCTGTTTGCATGTAATGTAGCAGAGTAAAATATCAATTGACTTGCAATACTTATTTCTGCTTTCAAGAGAAATACATGCCTTAAAAATCAGTATTATAGTCAACCTGTGAAAACCAGAATACATTTCAATCTAATTAAATGCCCTGAAATTTAATTAAGCTATTATAAATGATTTGTTTAATTTCTCCCCATCCCAGCTGATCAAGACACTATGAGGTCCAAGAAGTCAAAAAAGGCCTTGTCAGTCCGCTCCCCGCCTTGCCTGATGTACGTGCGATACACACAAGAGCCCTCCCGCTAGGACCCTGGGTACCCCGCTTCGTCTACACGAGGCCTTCACGCTGTCGTAAAGACACTGGGGTACTGAAGCTCGGCCCAAAAATTGGAATCAGGGTATGAGAGAGCTATTCTAGAGGCAGTTCCATTTGCTGGCTATATTCCCTAGCTTTTACTGCTTGTTTTACTTCTTGTTTTTTCTTTTTCCTGGAACAGGCCTAGGTCAATGGCTCCATGTCTCACCGGTCCTCAGAGAACAAGCAGCACGTCTGCTGCACAGAGAGGTCGCTGCTTGCTCCCTAACTAGCCGGTTGCCAGAAACACTCAAACGCACGCAGCAGGAGTGCGGGGCACGCAGAGAAACGGCCGGCAGTGAACACTCCTCAACAGTCCACTGCATCCACAGAGCTCCCCGGGGTGCACTTCGGACACCGTACCATGAAAGGCAACTGTCCGGCTGCTTCATTCCCCGGCACACACCACCCCACACACCGTATCTATCTCCGAGTTTCTATCCTGCGTGTTTTGCAAGTGTTAGGAATACAATGAAAGATTTAAAACGATGCACTGAGGACAACTGTGAACAAAATTTGAATTTTGAAACAAAAAACACGGCCTGCTCCATAGGACTTAGTGGATCTTGTCTACTGGAAATCTGACTGGTGGTACCACCGGGAGCAAAGGAGTTGCTGCAAAGTTTAGACAGTACATGTAAGCAGGACTGACACTGTCCTATTTCCAAGATGCCTGGGCTACAGCAGTAAGAGCCTGTTACGAATTACAAAGAAGGAACATGTCAGTTCTTTCTGTACCCTTTTTTCCCCATGACATGCATGAGGCACAAATATAACTTCTTGAGTAGCTAGAGACCAAAAGTAGATTGAAACTCTAATAAAAAGATATATTCAAGGTGATTTTTTTTTTTGTGTGTGTGTGTGTGTTTTGTTTGTTTGTGTTTTTTTTTTCTGGTACCGGGAATTGAACTTACAACCTTGCCCTTGCCAGGCAGGCGCTGTGCCACTGAGCTAAATCCCCAGCCCCTATTCAAGGTGATTTTTAAGAAGTTCTATTTCCCAGACTTTATTATCTTCTGTATGAAGCAATTCATCCAACAAAGGCGTTTAGTCCTCTCTGCTTCCTCTCACAAGGGCTGAGTCTATACTTTGTAACCTTGTATTGCCTGGGTTTGAGTGCTGCTATAATTCTGTAATAAAAAGATGCTTCACATACATCTGCATCCTTCCAGACTCACTGCAGACCTTGTGACTCTCAAGAATACCTAACTAGAGAGTGGAGGTGTATCTCAGCATTAGTGTTTGCCTAGCATGCACGAGGCCCTGGGTTCAAACCCCAGCACTTTCTTAAATATATATAATGAATTTCTGTCAGGGCGACAGGAATGCTCCTTATTGATACAATGAACTGGAGACACCAAGAAAGCAGACAGAAGTAAACACCGCAAAGGTGCAGTCACCAGATCCGTGCCTGAGTCCAGGACTGCAGTGCACACACTGAGCTTATTCTGAGATCCTTTACCGACTCCACTGAAGCCAAGCTGGCTAATAAACACAGTCTGCAGCTGCGATTGATTTGGAAAGATGGTCACACTGTACTGCTCGAGGCCTCTGAAACGGGCTGGTAAGGAAAAAGGCGACTCACAGTGGACTGTGATGGCTGTCGAGGCGATCATGCTCTTCTCGTCTACCAGCGAGCATTTGTACTCTCCCGTCGCATTGCGCCTCGCGTCTGTCAGTGTGTAAGTATTCGAGCTTCGTATTCCTTCAGGCTGCCCCTTTTGACAGAAGCAAAATGTCAAATGATTACACTTGGTAGCTACAATGAGCACAGTTGTATTTCTTGATGAAGATGGCATTTTCTCAGATAAAGAAGAAAAGTGAATGCGATTCTTTAGACAGAAAAGTATAGTTTGTACAAAAAAGTACCAACATATGATTCCTAGGGAAAAAATTTAATATTTTGATTAGAAGGACTCTTGAAGAACTGCTTTATATTTTGTGGATAACAAGTATTTCATTGAAAGCATAATGTGTTTTAGTTTTGAAACCGATTTTTTAAGAAGTCCAATATCTCATTTTTATAATTACAACTTATCGAGTTTAGCAAAATAAGCTATATATCCAAATAAAAATAAAAGACAGGAAGGAAGGAAAGAAAGAGTAAGGAGTGAAGGAGAAAAGAAAAAAATAAATGGAGAAAAGAAAAAATAAATGGAGACAAAAGAAAGATAAAGAAAAGAAAGCAAATCAAGACTAGGCAAAAGGTAAGTATAACAGGAGTACATGTTAACAAAAAGATAATCAGCAGGTATTGTTGCTAAAGGTGAGACATAAATTTGGCTTTATAGGCCCTGGTAGCCAAAGCTGAAACCTACTTAGCTTCATAATTTCTATTTGCAAGTGAGACAAAAATAGCTTGTCAATTTAATAGGTGAAACCACATTTTATGCAAACATTTACTTTTATAAGGAATCACTTACACCACTGAGAAATGCAGTGAAGGATATTCTTAAATACTGCTAAGTAACGTAGGGGATAAATCTGTCAGCACATCCCTACAGAAGCGCAGTACTGAGTAGCACATGGCTTTCTCATGTAAATGTGATAGCAAACACAAAGCTCTGGCAGAGCCAAGCATCCTGACAGAGCTCTCTCCTACTCCGGCTTCATGGTACTGTGACATCCTAGAGGAAATTTCTAATGAGCCCTGCACGGTTATTATTTCCTTCAGCTATGACATGGATAAAAGTTGAAGAAATTAGACTTCACAATTGTACATGGTAAGACAGAGCCCACACATAGCATTACTCTAACAAACTAAGTATATGTGCAACAGAACTCCCCCTACTTCCGAAGGTCAGAGCCATGTTCAAGGTAACACCGTGGGTAGATTTAGAATCCACCTCCAGCCATTTTCTGTCTTCTTTTTCTCATTTTATGGTTATCTACTTCCTAAAAGCTTATGTGGATAATAATATCCTGAGTTTTTGCAATTATGGTTTCTTGTTTTCCACTTTTGTTTTTTCTCTTTGTGTCTGAAATCTCCAATATTGAGAAAAAGGCTAGAACACTGGCAGGTGCAACACAATCACAAGACACTATGAGGTGGTTGTCTGTATTCCCAAGGATAACACGCTCTCTTAAGACACCCAAGCGCATGCAGTGCTGTGTGCCAGAGAAGGCCCAACAACAGGACAGAACAAGGAACTGAGCTTCAGAGCTTCAGCACTTACTGGTAAGTAAAACAGAAATTCCTCAGGAGGAGGGTTCCCGTTGCCCAAGCATCTGAGGGTGATGTTGTCTCCTTCTTTGATGGCATTTTTCGGCGGTAGCACCTCTATTGTCACTTGCTCCGTCGGATCTGTAAGAGTCACAGACACAAGTTAACATTTTTGTCAAGGAACAAATTACTGTGCATACAATGTAAATGACTAAATTATACACAATTTTCTCAAGAAGCTCGTAATGGTAATTACTTAAGTATATCTTTTTATAGACCGATTGAAGTTAATAGCCACTTGCTATACCAAGTACTAATCTTCAAGCAAACTACAAAGAGACCCGGTTATATAAAAATCAATTTCTTCTTACAAAAATGTCTTGAACTGAGGTAGGAATAACTGTAATTATTTTATGTGTAGAAGACCAGTAGGAACAATCATCTCACTGTATGACTTCATTACATGGAAATTTAACTGTGTTGTGTGAATCTTATGGTTTGCAAAGACTAAAATCAGCTAGCCAATTTCCTGAAGTTATTATGTACGGCCCCACTCCATCACATAATAACACCTTAGATTAAATAAAAGGAGGGAAAATGAGCTAAACACCACCACCAAGGATTCTGCTGTGCAGGGGAGCAAATCTGCTTTCAAAACAATGAGTCCTGTGAACTGAGAAGGACTCTTAAAATAATCAACAGGACTGTAAATGTATTGTAATTCTGTCCTGTTCACTGGAGCCAAGATGTAACTTGCAGTCCATTTTGGTAATTTTGCAGAGAAAATAGGGCTAAAGAGTATTCTTTAGTACAGGCTACTGCTCAACAAGAGAATGCTAAGTAAATTCAAGGCTGGATACGGTGTGATCATGTCTAGCAAACAGGAAATAAAAGGAGGTAGTGTGGCAGTAATAAATGACTCACTTCGTACTTCTCCACTTATTAAATAGCTGAGTAATGCAATGAACAATGAACTTCAAAATCATATAACCTAAGGTGTTAAGGAACATTCCACACAAAAATTAGTAACTACTCTGACATGCCTATATTTTCAAGTTGGTGCCATTAAAGACCTATTTTTGTGATTAGCTAGCATTTTGGTTTGTGTCTAGACGGACCCCCTAAACTTCATGTGGTTATAGGTGGGGCTTCTCAGAGATGGTAGGATCTAGAGCACTGCTGCTTGGATTAAGTGTGTGATGCTGGAAGCAAGGGTGTGTGATTACTAAGTTAGTCTACTGGTTGGTGTGGCACAGCCCTGGGAGTAGGTAACAGGAAGGCCCAGCCTGGGTGTGAGTGCCGCCTGCCCTGAGCGGGGGCCAGCCAGGACAGAGTGTGAGGAAAAGAAAGAGGATGCCGTGGCTGCTTGTCGCTCGCTGCTTTGCTACTTCACCGCTTGCTGCCTTCTGCTCTGCTGCCCTCTGCCCGTCATGAACTGTTTCTCCTCCGCTATGCCCCTCTGCCCCGCCACGTTTCATTGGAGCCAGCCACTATGGACTGAAACCTCTACACACGGTGAGCCAAATAAACCTTTCCTGCTTTAACTTTGCGTGTCGGGCATTCTGTCCCAGCAAGGAGAGAGTAACTAAGACACCGGGAAAGTAAAATACGGGCGTGGTAGTTTGGGAGCCTTTTGTCTATGTCTCATAGTCCTGCTTTTACCTTTCTACAGTTGAGTTGTGCAGGATAACTCAGGAAGGCTGTTCTATGTTGCTTCTTTGTCATTTCTCCATATTCAGGGATCTCTGAGTATGTGCCTAAAATATTCTGCAGGTAAACAGTGACTACTTTAACAAACTTCTTTTTTATTTGTTTTTTCTTGGATCTGCCTGAGGAAGTTCTCCAACTGGCAGTGCCCAGGAAGTGGAAAAGAGAGTAGTTTTTTTTAAAATGGCATTCAAGTGACCTCCACCTCTGGGTGTCCTTCACTCTTTGACATGACTCGTGTCTGGCCAGCGTCAAGGTTCTGCCAGCGTCATGTCACTACGGCGCACCTCTGATCAAGGCTGACCCAGAAGAACCATGGATTACAACACGCCTGACCCCTCCTCTTTACCCAAATGGCCTTTCTCTGCATCCTTTTCTCAGTAGGTTCTGTTATGTATTAATTAATGCAACATATTTTAATTGTTACAGTAACTTCCTGAGTGGCCGCTAACATGCTGACAACAGAATTAATGATCTCTTGTTCTCCCATTCCCCCCCCGCTCCCGACTTTGAACTTTCCTCTGTCCATGAGTAAGTCATTTTCTTTCCATGACTCCGGCTTTTCTCCTCTGCCCTCCTTCCCCACTCAAATCACCAAGGCGCAGTGACTAATATTTCATGGTGCAGTCTGCACCAGATTCTCCCTTCTCTTCCCACCAGCACAGTCTCAGTCTACACCCCAATTAACCTTCACTGGAGTCACTGCATCAAATGTCACTTGTCCCTCACCCTGAGCCTCTGTCCTTTCCTTAGTAACTATTTGCTTTGAGTCGGTTTCTGAAGCAGCACTCTGAGTATTCAAACTTCCTTGAGGCAAATGCTCCTTAACCTGGCATCCCCAGTTTCATTTACTCTAGCTAAAGTAAGAACTGCGTCTCGCTATTCTCCATGAACCCCTGTACATAATAACCAAGAGTCTGCCCAAACTCCTTCCTTCCTTCCTTCCTTCCATGCATCTATTGGCCAATTATCGATTCATTTATTCAGCATCTATTTTATACAAGTACTAAGTGCTGGAGTTATCAAGTTGAAAAACACATATTCTTTGTCTCAATAAACTTTCACTCTAGTTGTGAGAATGATAAATTCACCATGTAGAGTTTGATGTCATTAAAACTGCCTTCGCCGTAGGCATCAGACTCCTGGTAGATGCACGAGACCAAGAAGTGCCCAGAGGAATGTGCTCTGGGACTGGGGGTTAAAGAACAGGGAGGAATGGGCCATAAGGTGAAGACTAGTCAAGGGCTGCACACTGAGAGACGAACAGGGAGCAGCCGACCCCAGGAAGCCAGAAGACAGAGCGGACCACGGGGCAGCGTGCAGCGGGAGAGGCTGAGACATGCGGACTCTGGCCATGGGACACTCCAGACACGCTGCATCTGAGGGCGTGCAGATTAATCTGTGGGCTCTGGGGAGCCATTAAAGGATTTTAATCACAGAGTCACACTCTTGCATTTGTGTTTTACAAAGATATTCCTAGCAGCACCTCAGAGGGCACTTTGTCTGCGGGGGCAGGCAGGGAGAACACTACCCTGAAATTATGGCACAAACAGAAGCAATGAAGAAGAAATTCAGTTACTGGTCAAAGGCAGAAGTCAGGTAAAACATCCTTTAAAGAGCTCACGCCTCTACAGCTTCAGACTAGTTGAACAGGGTAAGGAAGGACTGCACTAGAACACCTTTAGTAAATTAATCAAATTTCATTTTCTTTCCTTTAGTTTCCCTTCTTCCCCGAAGTCTTAGGGTGGTGGTTCTCCACTCAGCTGCATGAGCACGGTTAGGGAATCTGTTATAAATTCAAGGCGTCCAGTATCTTCTCACACCCACTGCAGCAGAAACTTGAGGGGGAGGGGGTCCAGAAGCTCATCTTCTTACAAGAACTTCAGGTTCTTCTGACAAGCAGGAAGAGTCTGAGTCACTGTCTGTAGACACCTCAGCTTTCAGGACTCGGCACTGCGCTCCAGCGATGTGTACCACTTGCCACCTTGCACTGCCAACTTCTTTCTGAGGTACCAAAGGGGTCATCTTTCCCTACTGCGATGGTAACGTCCTTGAAAGTCAAGACTTCACCCTAAACCCTGCAGTGTCTTTGCCGTGAAGTCCAGCGCTGCATGCACGCATTGTCTTCTCATAGAAGACATCCCGAATGCAGCCCGCGCAGCCACTGTGACAATCATTTCCTGGGGATCGTTTTCTTTTCTGCTCACCTGGCTCTTCAGGCCTGGACACCACGTACTCTCCTGTTCCTTTTAAGCGAACTTCCCAAGTCTCCTTCCTCGGCTTGATATTCTCTCCACTTTATACTCGGGGGCTTATACTAAGTTGGATTATGTGTAACTAGAGGAGCTCAAAGGCTCCAAACACAAAGTAATTTAAAAAATGCTAATTAGTCCAATTTGATTCACACACATTCTAATGGGTATTTGAATAGCATGTTGGAGCCATGAGCATGTACAATTATTGCATGTTAATTAAAAATTTTAGAAGTCTAAGAACATGAAATATTAACTATGTTTTGAATATTACAAACTGTGTATATGTACTGAATTATCACAGGGTACCTCAAAAATAAAAGGAATTAAAAATAAATTTTAAGAACTGAAAACATCATATCAGCGATACATGTGCACTCATGTTTATAGCAGCACAATTTGTAATAGCTAAGCTGAGGAATGGATAAAAAAGTTGTGGTATTTTTATATAATGGAACATTACTCAGTTATACAGAAAGATACACTCGAAGCTTTTATAGGTAAATGGTCACAACTAGAGACCATATTCATAAGTCAAATAAATCATCAGACCTATATGGGTAAACACCATATTGTTTCACTAGTGTAAGAACCTGAAAGAGTGAATAAAATCTAAAAGGTACAACAGATGTTGTGAAAGGGAAAGAAACTGCTCAAAAGGAGAGAACAACTGGGATGAGGGAAAAGAGAAAAGAAAGAAAGAAAGAAAGGAAAAATACGTATGTATGTATATACAGGATAGCTAAGATAGCTGTACTACTGATTTCTATTGCTTTATTGAAAGAAACAGTTAATGTTTAACTGATTAATCTTACACGTCTATATTTGTTTATCTTAGTAACCAATTTGAAGATATCAACATGCAATACAACAACCATTGTTAATTTCCTATCACCTTGTCTGAAATTCTGCATTGCTTGTATTGTTTTTGTATTATTTTGTAAACATCTGCATGTCTGTTAATATGTTTTCATTCTTTTATCTTTAAAATAAAAAAAAATTTGAAAGTAAAAACAAAAAAATAAATTTTAAAAAGAAAGAACTCTGCCTCTCCTTACAGAAACAATACTTTGATTTTAGAGAAGCTAAAATCTGGGATACTCAAAGTTTTGCTTTTCAATCAAGTTAACTTATTTGCCTGGTTTAAGACAAGATAATCTTTTAAAGTTCGGGTAAGTTTCGAATTTCAGTTTTGTTCGTGTATAAGCCTCTGGGCCTCGGGACCCCAACAGACATGCAGATGCGGGGAAAACTCTCCGAAGACTAGCTAGCACTGCTGTACTTACCGAAGAATAAACAGAGAAGTGCGAGATTACTCTAGAGCAGATGGCAGTACTACAGTGAAGTTCTACTCATTGTAAGTAATAATCATAATCATAATACTAACAATAGTGAAATCCTTTATTCCATTAAAATCCCCAGGTCTAAGTTTATGCAGTGAGACCGTCTGGGCAGTAATGACAGCAGTACACTTCATGTGTTGCGCAATGTTCTATGTTACGCTTGGGAGGTCTGTTAATCTCCGTAACAGTAGGAGTTTGGTATCATATTTTTCCATTTCAAGACAAGAAAATTGAAATGTAGAGTAATTAAACAATTTTTGTGGAAACACAGTAATTGACAGCATTGACACTGGAATACCAGCATGTTTGCTCCTAATCATGTGGCTTGAAAGAGTACAGCACCAGAGGAAAAGATCACATTCCAATCTTTACTGCTGTATAGGGTGTATCTCTATGGCTCATATTAAGTAAAATAAAGAATAGGGGAGTCTGTGTTTCAAATTTATGATTCAGTTGACCGAAATATTTTAAGATACAATATCCTACCTAAATTCAACAACTGATCTCATTACCAAAATAAATTTCTTCATTAAAATACTATAATAATTCTATGCTTGGAAAGCTAGTCAACCATAAGATTGTATTTATCATTCACTCAGAAAATAGAAGGCAGTTTGAATTTCTGCAAAATTCATGGGAGTGTGCTCAGCCTCAGGACTACCAGAAGTGACTGACCAAGTTACAGATTGTACTTTTGAGGAACTCCGCATGTAGCAGAATACAGACGAGAGGTGCTTATAAATAACAGAGTAAAAAGTGAAAGTGATGATGAGGAAGAATTTATTCCGCAGGACTCCCAAGGAAGCAGAGTTTATTTGGATGCTGTGGATGTCGGCAGAATGCTGGAAGCAAAATCTGAAAACTAACTGGATTGGAACTTCACAGACTAATAGTATTCTCATGTTATTTCTAATACACTAAAATTACATAATTGTAACAGAGTTACTTACAGTAAATATCAAAAACTGCTTGTTCTGAATGAAGTGTTTTCTGGCCAGATGGTCCGTAATACGTCACAGAGCAGGTAAATGGCATTTGTATATCAGCCTTGGTTGTCTTATATTCCAAGGAGGAAGTCATGGTATATAATTGAGTAATTGGATCCATTTCTTTTTTAAAATTTATGACCACCACTAAAGAAAAAAAAAGGTAATGGTAAGACTGTTGTCTGGAAACAGCACAATCCCTGAGTATCTTAATACCTTTCAGAAGTGGCTCTGTCTACCTAATTGTATTTAACAGGAGGACTGACACTCAGTGAAATATGATGTCTTTTTAAAATCATGAATCAAGAGACCTACACAAAAATAGAATCACGAAATGTGCCCTCCCACTCACGTTGATTAACTTCTAGAACATTCCATGTACAGACAAAATTTTCTCTCCTGTTGATTCTTCTGCACAAGTGCTAAAACAGTGTCTTTTAAAAATCACTTTATGATTTAGTGCATATTTAAAGCAAGAAAGCATAGGAGCATTAATGAAAAGGGGACTGCATATTGTGATCCTGGGTAATGTAAAGGATCCCCAGAGAAGAGAAAAACAAAACAGGTCATTCGAATTTGCTGCCACCTCAGACTCACCTCCTTCCAGGGGCTGCAGCAGCTTCCCACTCCTGTACCACGTGAGGTTGCCAGCTGGGTAACTGTCTTTCGAAACGCAGTCGCCCAACTGCGAAAGAAAAAGGAAATAGTATTTCCTCAGTCAGAGGCTGTCACTTGGGAGCCCAGAATATTCAGGAAAAGCAGAGCGCTTCGACCCATTTATTCTCTAACACTAACAATGGGATACATGTTCTCTTGCGTACAGACAACATACAAACATAGTTTTGCCCACTTTTAAATATATAGTCGATCCATCTCCATGAACAAAATCACATTCACTTACAGGCATTACTAAATGTGTAACATTAACCACAGAACACAATGTAGCTTCATTAGCGCTGCCTTCTCCTGGGGTTCACGCGTCTTTACACGCAGGACTCATTTAGTGTGGAAGCGGGGCTGCCTCTCCAGTGTCGCACTACAAATAATTCAGGCTGTGTATACTCACCATGCTCCATAATGCACGCCTCTTTCTTCAAGTATGTTTAATAGTGCATGTTTGCCAAAGAGTAAATTCAGTAAAACTTAATTTGATTCAAAGAACTTTATCTTCCTCACCCAATGCAGACACAAAGGAAAATTTGTCTATTTCAATTAGTGACAACTGGGCAGTGACTCAATTGCTACGCTCAGTTGTGGAGCTCCAACCCGCCTCCTCTCGCCTTCAGTGCAACTTCCCTTCATACCTCTGCTAATGTGATCGTTCAGGTCTGGTCTTCTTACACGTTCACTGCAAATCTGCAATCGATTTGTCAGTAGAACGAAGTCCCAGTTCCCCGTGTGTCGCAGCAGCCTTGTCCCGCCCAATCCAGCCCCTCTGCCTCTCCTAATGTATATCATGCTACACTCTGCTGCCTTCCTAGCATCCCAAGTTTGAAAGGTGGACTGCGGACATTCCCAGATGGGCCATTTTCTTTCTCATCTCATTTTAAGAGATGTGAAAGAGTCCTTCCTACTTTTTTCCTAAGTATGAACTCTTTTTTCATGGACTTCGTTAAACAAATAAGAAAGACCCCCCCTTTTCAGAAACGACCACTGTTTTGTTCATGTCCCCATGGCCACAAGGGACACAGTATCCCCCTGTGCCCTCTGCATACTTTCTGACTGGCAGCTGCAAGCCTGGACCTCCAGAAGAACAAAGTCCATTTCACCTGTTCTGGTATCTGCAGTAGGAAAAGACACTTAACACCAGGCTAAGTAAAGTAATTAACTGAAACGAGTTCTCACCTTTTTTAGCTGCTCTGTTTCGAGAAATGGTGCTTTGCTTACAATTTCAGGTTTAGATGGTTGCTCTAAAGTCAAGTAGAAAAAGGTTTTATGCAGACATGGAAGAAAACAAATGATGTCAGTGATTTGGCTTACATAAAAATAATTCATAGCCTCAAAGCAGAAGAACGCACAGCAGAATAAAGAATAGATTTCCTTATGTAAATCAGATTTAAGAAATCGAGTAGGTCTCGCCCCTCCAAATATCTGCTTTATTATCTTTCATACTGTTTTAAGTGCTTATAAACTGTTTGAATAAAATATCTGTAATGCTTTTTGAATGTTTTATAGGCAGCAAATATGCAATGAATAGTGGAAGGGAAGCTGAGGTGTAAATAGGAGAGCGGGCACTTTCTACTTCTTCTGTAACCTCCCGTTCATCACGTGGAGGTGTTGAATCGCACGCTCGCCAGCAGAGGCACCTGCTAAAGTGCGCATTTCTGAGTCCTAAGCTGCTTACAGGATCAGAATCTCTAGGGGAAATGTGATCAATCTACATTTTTGACAAATTCCTAGGGGATTCTTGGGCACAGTGAAGTAAAAAACCTTTCTGTAAAATAATGGTAAAGCTAGTTAAGGACGTAGAAGCCTGAATTTCCTAAATACTTCAAACTTCATCTTTTAATTCAAGTCACATGATGAAGCTATGGGGAAAGGTTTGAAATCTGCAGTCTGAAATGAGGGACAGAAGTATATAGAAAGTTCTATAAACAAATTCTAATAGAGGCTTCAGGACCATTAAAAATTTCAGCAACAATTTCTTATTCAAACTAATTTAAAGTGATTTCACTCTTATCTGATCGTTTTCTAGCATTGATGCATTCTGTACTTTTTGAATAGCTCCAACTATTCATTTACAGAAAGTGTAAATTGCCTCATGGCCACTAATATTTGTAGCTCCTTGAACACAATTACTCTATCCTCATTTACACAAACAAATGGGAAAAATAGGCTGTTTTTCTTTTATAATCTTATCTCACCATCGCTAATACTTTTTATTTTGATTACCAGAGCAAACTAAACTAAATTGGCTTTTGTGTAAATTATTGCTCAAGTCGGAACTGTTACCAGACATGTTACATACTCAAACTATGACAGAAATCAAGGACGAAAACAAAAAAAACTCTCAAGTAGCAAAATAGTTGTCAGTGTGCTGACAAAAACACAAGCATGCTAAGGTGAATATTAGAGTTAATTTTTCCTTTGCAAGTCAGCTTTACATTATAAATTAGAATAATGAATACAATAAATCTGCCAATATATTGAACTCATTCACTTTAACAGTTCTATTTACTATTAATTCTTGAAATACACTTTCACTAACACAGTTTTTACAATGATGACTATCTAGTGCCCAAATACACCAATGTGAAACAAACATAAGACTGAGAAATAGAAAACAGTGTAAAGGAATAGAAAGCACAACAGAAACAATTAATAAAAACAAGTGACCCCTGATTAACTTATTTTAGGAAGGTGAATATAAAAATTATAAAAATTGACCCAAAAATTGACTAAAAGCAGATACCAGTTTTCAGGAAACATACGGTGTGAGCAAAGACGAAGGCTTCTCCACACATCAATGCTATCACTACTGAATGGAACACTACAAAAGTTAAAACTGAGTTATTGATAAAACTGAATTCTGTTTGGGATCCGTGTTTGAGAGGTAGACATCTAATATATTTGAGAGAAGAATGCATCTAGAGGGGCTGAAGATTTAGCTGAGTGGCACAGCGCCTGCCTGGCAAGTGCAAGGTGGTGAGTTCGATTCCCGGTACTGGAAATAAACCGGGAATGCATCTAGAATATTAAAACAGACTAAAAATTCTTGCTGACAAACTGGACATTAACATCAATTTTTTTAGTGATACCTCTCAGAAAGCTCAAGATGCACAGGATATTAAATTAACTTATCTTTTAAAACAAGAATGAAAAGTAACATGAAGAAAAAGAATTTTAGTTTCTCCCTCAGTAATGTTTTGCTGGAAAATGTGCAGAGACTTGAAACACCCTGCCCCATAAGTTTAGGACCTAAAGACAAAGATTTAGTGGGCAGCTTTGCCAAGTTTACTATTTCCAATCCAAGTAAAATATGGACGTACACTTCCTCTTGCTAGAAAGAATGCACACCTTGCTTTGTTCTGTAATACCCCAATGCTGTATCACTATGTAATCATAACTACTTGTGTTACACCTTTGATTCTTTCCACGTGTAAGGTATACTCTGCTCCAAAAAGTACTTCCTAGAATTCTTTTTTATTTCAATAGAACACAATTGTAGCAAATTAAAAAAAAAAAAATCTTATGGAAGATGTTTAATGTTTTGTCCTCTTTACATTTATGTTCCTCTTTCTCCTTGAAAGAGAGTCACAGTAAGCACTATAAGAACGGTGGGAATCATCCGTGCATTTCCTTGAGTTACTTTCTTGTGAAGCTTTCGTTTCATGCCCCCCATATTAGCTACATATTTTGTACATAATTTTCGCTTATATTAGATTGTAGCAATCGATGGGTGTTACTTGGAGAACTATAAAAGAGGACACACACTATTTTAGCAAAATTGCATATTGATTCTAAAGTGTTTTTTTTTAAAAAACAACTTTATAAGAATTACATCTTAATATGACTCAAGGATTCATAAAATTATTAATTTAGTCAACAGTACTAACTTAAAAACAAGGTAAATTTTGCTTCTGAACATGCTTGGGTAAATTCTCTAAGAATCACTCAACTTAACCATTTATCACATAGTATAACACAGGTATACCATGTTGGTATATCACATGCTTTGGTTCATTTTCGTCTTCTTTGTTGACCTATCTCTACTAAATTATCTGGGAGTTATATTATTATCACAGGCCCATCTGATAATATAGTTCTTTATGGAGAGGAAGGGAAATAGGGAGCTAGTGAGAGAGGGAGAAAGGGAGAGGGTGAGGTATGGAGGGAGCCTGGAGCGGGGGGGAAGGAACTGGGGATACGGGGAAGGAACTGGGGATGCAGGGAAGGAGGGAGAGAGAATAAACACGGACGAATGGGATGGACGAGTGTGCGTGCTGGAGCGGGGCAGACAGCTAACACTCCTATCAGCATGCGTATGCTCTGGTTCTGTGGCAACGGTACAGAGTCCTAAGACTCAAATTATTTCTTTTTAAACCAGATTACAAGTTTTTCACTAATATCCTTTGAGGTCTTCTCACAAAGGATTAAAAACTAAGCTGTATTTCCTGCCTAGTACAACTGGAAACATGTCATAGATAGAAGCCTTACTTTTCTTTCCACTTTTCCTGTTTTGCATCAGGAAGGAGAATTTGTGTGATTACTCTGCCGGAGAAGAAGGAAACTGTGGCAAGGACATGGGGCCTGATCAAGAATAAATGTACTAAATTAGATGATCTCCTCTCATTCGAAAACACAGACTAGCGCTGCTCAACACCTGAACATCAGCCTTCAGAAAAACTAGAAATCAGTAACAGTAACACTTATCGTTTCAGGCAGCTAGTTATCGCGAAGCCAAGTGCAGATGCAGATGCATGCACACTGCTCTATATCGCCTACAGCGTACTAACACTACTGTCAGGACAGCGGAGGCATTCTAAGTAAATAATTGTGTCCATGGGATCATGCTGTATTTTCCTCGTTAAATGGGGGGATTTTTTAATAGTGAAACAAATAAACCAAAATATAAAGCGTATGTGTTAGTTATAAAACAAGTCATTTTCTACTTCTTTCCTGCCTAAAATATTAGTTTCAGATTGACTTAACTTTCCTGGGGTTTCTCCAGTAGAGAAGGGAATTTCAGTTCTGATAAATCATTGAAGGGAAGGATCTAAATGAATCCTACCCAGATGAAAAGCTTTCAAATAACTTCCTGAAACCAACGAGCACCACAAGAAGCCCTGGACCCCCCCATACATCAAACCACGCCGCGCGAGCAGTCTTCCTGTAATACCGCAGACCACCACTGGAGGAGAGGAAGCTTGCAAATCAGCGTGGGGTGCCATGTTCAACGCTTTTGCTGAGCTGTCCCCTTTTTTAGATGGGGACTCACTATGTCGCCCAGGCTGGTACAATCCTCCTGCCTCCCTCTCTGGGATTAATTTTCCTTTATAAACAATTTATCATAAATAACTGGAAATTCGATACACAAAATTCCAGCTAATTGAATATTCATAGCTTCTCATCTTCTCAAACTCTCCTCACTAGATACCTACGAGGATCCGAGAGACAATGAAAATGTCCCATCTATTCTAAAATTTGTTCTGCTGCTGAGGTTAACTTTAAGCCCAGACCTGCGAAGAAACTTTCTCAAGGTCAGAAATTAGTAGCAGCTCCAACAAAGCAAGTCTGGTGACCAGCTTGGTAATTGTTCCATTTCACCACCACCAACCGGTTGGTTCTCTTGACCTCTGAGCCTTTTCCACATTCACTGGAAGGAACAACAGGGAGCTTTTAAAGGTCTGTTTTTGCTTCTCAATGGTTTTCCTAACCCCGAGTGTGCATTAAATGCAAACATAGTTCAATTTTGATGTCATTCAACTAACATTTTACAGAAAAAAAAAAAGCTGATATGGGGTGACAAAACAGGTCACTTATTTGGATCTGGGCTGGCTTCTGGGTTTGATTTCTTGTATCTGAGGTATTGCTTACCACCAAACAAACAAATCTATATTACAGGTAAAGTGAGCAGTCACAGCCACTTGTTTGAATTTAAAAAAAAAATGACTTTGCCCCTGAGGACAGCAATGTGCGGCAGGCTGATCTGGGATTGGCTCACAGGAGCAACTCTCCATTCTGCGGTACATGGTGCATGTTGCTAGGTGATTCAGCAGAGGAAACAGAGGACTGATTGATGGGCCTGGTAACTCTGGAGAGACTGCAATATATACATGCGCATAATGAAAGCCTCCCTGCCACAGCTGCTGTTCGCTTCACAAAAAGTGACTGAAAGTAAATTCATTTTAAAAAAAAACCAACAAAGCAAAGCGCCTATATGATCCCATAAACACTGCAGCATTAACTGGTGCTCATTTTATTAGATTTGGAGGGCCCCATGGTTTCTAGGATGAAATACCATTTTCAAGGGCGTGTCGCTTGTCTATGTAAATGCTCCCTGGCCCACAGCCTGGAATGCAAATTCTGCTTCTGAGAGTCACTTTGTTTTCAACAGCTTCCAAAAGAAAAAGGGGGCAAGGGTACTGGCAGTATATGCAGCGTGAGTTGGTCTGCACAATCACAGGAATCCTTGTATTATGAAATGACTTGCAGATTTCAGTGAAAGAGACCACTGAATTTTATTTTCAGATTTAGTTATGGCATTTTTTAAGAGGCAAATTTTGAAAGTGCTACAAATAAGTCTTCTAAATGTAAAAACCTGTATGTCTCAACTTCCCTGTATACTATGCTGATATCCAATAATTTTAACACGATATAAAAGAAATCCAAAAATGACAAATTATTATATATGAAACTCAATCTCTCTTCCTAATACGGCACCTTCTTGATATCCGGTTATATTTATGAGATGACGGCCTATAATTTAAAAAGTGGGGGTAGTTTTTGCTCTTTTTAGCAAAGGTATCTCAAACAGTACATCATCCATCTTTTAAGTGACATAGAAGTAAAAAAAAAAAAAATAAGGTAGAAAAAAATACATGGGTCACTGGCAAATACAGAATGCCAGTTTACCAGATGTGTTTTGTGTCACAGGCATGACTGGCAAACAACTGGCCCTTTGTTTGATTCATAACATGATTGAGATGTGTGGATGATTTCTGGGAAGTGCTTTCTCAGCTGAAAAGTAATCAACTGAAACATGTAATGGGCTTTTCCAAGGTTCTTCTGGAGAACAAAGGTTTCGGTTCCTAGGACAGCATTCTTTGAATCCACATCATGAGGCCCTAGGAGCTTTGAAGTCTCTATAAATACTTAAGGGACATTGCTGCGTAAGTTATTACAAAAGGAACAGGAAAAAGCCTTTGGTTACTTTTGTGGTTGAGGACTTCCAGGTTTGCCTGTCACTGTTTATTTTAATAAATTTTAGGTGCTGTCAAGATATCAGAAAGCAGAAGGAAGAAGTTGGAAAGAGCAGTCATTTTTGCCTGATTAGAAAAGGCTGGTATCTACAGCCATACTACCCTGAACATGCCTGACCTTGTAAGAAAAGTCTGGTGTTTGGAAACTTTTGATGCTTTTCTTTCCTCCTAAATCATTATACTGTAACTGAGGTGGGACGTTCTATGTGAATGTGAAGATGAAATACTTTAATTATAACTGCTCAAGTCATTCTTCTGAAAAGTTATCTGCACAGCAACAGTAAGTCTATGTCACTATTAGGCAAAATAACTGTGCCACAGTGACTACAATCATTTCAAGTTTCTCTTACAATTTTTCTTTCTGTTTTCACTTTTTCTTTCATCCTTCCTTATTTTCTGAGATAGGATCTAACTATATTGCTTAGAACGCAAGATCCTGCCTCAGTCTCCCAGATAGCTGGAATTACAGGCATATCACACTGCACCTAAACTAACGTCACAATTTTTTTTCTTTCACTCACACTGTACTTTCTCTCCTTGGTATATTCATTACACACATCCAGGGTGTGGTGAACTTTTTCATTAAGAACAATTATATAAACTAAGTGAGCTTCAAAGTCTGTATCAAAAATGCATTAAAAGGGAGCTGGGGATTTAGCTCAGAGGCACAGCACCTGCCTGGCAAGTGCAAGGTCATGAGTTTGATTCCCAGTACTGGAAACAAACAAACAACAACGACAAAAATGCACTAAGTCTGAATATATACATATATCCACACATTCTTGTAAAAATTTTAAAAAATTATAACGTAAAAATTATAAAGTAAATATGAATTAGAAGTTTAGATTTCTAAGTCATAAGATAATGTCTTTCTGTTTTAATAAATCAAAATAGCATTTTTTGTCCAGTCTAACATATACACACATGCATGCACAATTATATACGTGTCACGTCCATGTATGTATCACAGAACATTTCTTTGCACCTACCACTGAAAATTAAGAGATCATATGCTAGTTACCACCAGTAGCATGCATATCTCAGTAAACTTACACAACAAAACAACTGCGAAATCTTACTTGAATTTCAGACAGTTTTCCTGCTGGCAGCATGCACATGGAACAATCTAGAAATCCTCTTTTAGAGACGCCTGCACTAGGGACAGAGATCTCAGTCTTCCCTCTAAAGAGTATGTTCCAGCGGCCCCCATCAGCCGACTTTGCAGCTGGACTGCAGACTACTTACTGAACACGTTGACTATCGTCGGTGCCTCAAACACGTTGTCCTCGGTAACCAGCATGCACACAAATCTCCTTTGATCGCTGATCTTGGCGTTGCTGATGGACAGAGTGTAATTTTCCGAAAGGCTCAGTCTGTCTTTGTACTCCGGTACATCGTCATATTGCACACTTTTCTTGGTAGAGGATCTGAAGGCAATAAATACTGGGGAGCCGTCAGGATTTTCCTACAAATTTAAATAGTAATACATTTTAAAAGCGAGAATATTCAGGTGATTCAGGACTACATCCAGAATAACAAAATTTCTTAGGCCACATTCATCCACAAATGTGTATACTTTTATTCAGGAAGAATTGTGGGTATGAGCCCGACATAAATCTTTGGTTCCAGAAAATCAGTCTTTCCAAGAAGGGAGGCTCTGAGCTCCTCTGTGGGTACCGTATTCAATGTATGACAATGAAAGGACAGAACTCTGGGCATCTCAGCTTCTCTGCAGTATGCAGGACAGAATTAACGGCTATCTGAAGCAGACAAGGGGCAGTCTTACATTTACAATGAAATAAAGAACAGCTAAGTACACCCAAGTAGACAAAATGATGTTCGGATAACCATCACAGGGAACATACTCCTATACTGGTTGAAAATATCCCAGCTAGTTATCTTTGACGTATTTTTCCCTTGAACTCACATACTTTAAATGTGCACCTCTTCAGCCAGAACGGATGTAGCTGACCTTTACACATAGCAGCATTTAATCAGTCTTCATGCAGGAACAGTATTTACCCTTGTAAAACAATCACGTCCATTAAGCAAGAGACTCAGATTAACCACTACGATCCATGATTTTGCTATGTGGCTCACAAAACTTAATTTGATGGCTTTCATGCAAAAACTTATCATCAAAATAAGATAAAATCTGGCCAGGAACACTGAGACATATGATACATTCCTTCCTTTGGTTCAATAAAAACACTGTTACTGAATAAGCAATTTATCCTAAAATACGAGCCAATAGTTTCTCTATTTACCTAACAAGATCTCTGAAAAAATAAAATGGTAAAATAGGTTAAAATGCATGGTAAATTTTGAAATTATACCAAAACTTATGTTTTTAAAAAATGTTGATTTTGACTGTCAAGTTTACTGTAGAGTCTATAAGTATCAGTTTCTTAAATATCTGAGTGTATCAATATTTTCCTAAAATCTTTTAGTTTTACCACAAGCTTACAATACAAATCCTTGCCCTAAACAGCTCCTTCGTTATAGGAAATAGGTTTGGTAGATTCTCTCTTTGGCTTTTTATGCAGCAATTAATAGATTTAATACTAGAGTCAGAGTATTAAACTCATGTATAGATTAGACAGCGAAGGTGGCTTTGGGTTAGATAACTTGCCAAGGTCTCAGCTGATGAAGCTGAAATGTGAGCAGGGCAGTAGCACGCCTCTCTTCCTGAGGGCGGCTGGGCACCTTGGTGCTGGGAAAGGACGGACGGAGGAAATGGGGTGGGCAGGACTGAATGGGGATCTGTGTTCTCTACGCACACAGAGCTTACAGTGATGGTGGAAACTGGTTCATTCTTATCTCTGCGCTTCCGTTCACTTTCTCCACACCTTCCCCTTGTCTTTCAGAAGGCGGTACACTAAATCAGAGCATGCGCACACTTCTTTAAACCAGGACTGACTTTATAGCACACAATACCTCCAATGCGTCTCATCAGTTTATTGCTGGGATTTTTTTTTTTTTTTTTTGCTTAACAATTGGAAATTTACCATTATTATTTCTCAGCACTACTGTGCCAGTTCAGTTTAGGCAAAAACTATTCCCGGGGGTTACACTCAGAATTTTCTTTGATCATAGACATTTTCAGTGAGTTTGAGTCAGTGGGTACATTTTGTGGGAGCCTCTGAGACTCCTGGAACTTGGGGGATGGTAACAGACGTTGCCCTGGAGGATTGAACTTCACATTTCCTGTGTACAGAAAGTGAGACACAGTTCACAATCACCGCGAGCAAGCTGGGCAACAGGAGGCGTACAGAGACGCGCTGCGCTGCCTACGTCCCTTCCTGCACAGGCAGGCGCAGCGTGGCTGGATGTCACAGCCCCTGGCCACGGCAGCTTACTTGCTCAAGCAATTGTCCCATGTCAAGGCCAAGGAAATACTTGCTATGAATTATTTCACTTCACCAATGACATTACGAGGAAGATACTTCATAGCAAGAAAACAGGGGTTCATCCCCTTGCTTATGATCCCACACAGAGTATGTGCCACAAGCTGTTGGTCTGACTTGGAATCCACATTTTAAAAGCTGTACCAACACCATGCCTTCACTCTTAAGCACACTTCCCATAGTATTTTGTGCAGAATTTTTTTTTTTTTTGATATCTGAGGAAAAAAGTCTGTAGCCAAATAAACCTGAGAATCCAATCAAATTATGGCCTCCAAGAATTCATAATGCATTTTAACATATGGACGGTTCTGAGAAATGTAGTAAAGAAACATTTCACACATTATTTGACCCCCACATCCTTTCCCTGCACAGATGCCTTTTAACATTTTAAGGGGCTGGGGAAACATTTCTATCGTTTCCAAGGAGACAGACCTACTCGAAGCCTGCAAACTGTCATGAGCTCCTTTAGTCCACCATTGGCAAATTCTAGCATACAGACACCTTTCGTTGATTTTGGGGATTAAATTGACACATTTCATCGAAGCCACTTCCCCATTCTACCTCCACCTAGCAGGACCTCTGCTTCTGTCTTCTGACCTGTGCCTCAATACATGAGAAAGTATGATTTTGCTATATGCAAAATACTCAGCCATGTTAAACATAACAAAGTTATCAGGCTAAGCACCGGAAACAAGCTTGTAATACTGATGACTAATTTCCAATGAAGAGCGAGCTAAGCGTTCTGACTACTGATGTCGCTTGCCTTTCAGTGGCCAGATCCAACAGAACAGGGACAAGAAGAGGTTACCATCCTCTGCAGACCTCTGCCTGTCCTCCTGATTGTACTTTGGAATTCTATCTCTTCCCGTGTCTCCAACGCTTTAGGACAAATCTTTCAGATTAACATGGTCTAAGGCCTGCCTGCCCACTGGACTTATTTAAAATAGGATGGTACGACTGCTAGTCAATACAGCCATTTTACCTTTTCGTATTTGTATCCACCAAGTCATATCAACACGATCTCACTATAAAATTTACATTTAGCTATTTAACTGTATTGAAAAAGTGGAGACAACGAAGTCCATCCCAGAAAGGTCACACTTACATATTTCCATTTGCCAAACATGAGATTCTGAGGTACGTCGAGTCGACAAGGCATGACAATGGTATCTCCGTAGGCTGAGTTTACGGTGGACCATCCAAGGCCTTTGGAGAGAAAGAGAAGAGAAAGACTGAATGCAACTCTTGACGTGGTAACAGGAAGACTGTGGAATCTCAGGTGAACTGTTTTCTTTATTTCACAAAAGTACATTTCACAGAAGTATGGGACTATACAAAGACACACATGTTTAAAATTCTCAAAACTGGCATAGATATCTCAAAACTGGTGAAAATATCAAGCTTATCTTCTGGAAAAACATTTAAAAATTATTGAAACCTAAAAACTAATACACACAATACCACAGCTGAATTTTACTTATAGGAGGAAAATAAACATAAAAATGGTTTATTTTAAAGGTAAGATAGCCAGATATGGTGGCGCACACCTGTAATCCCACCATTTGGGAGGCTGAGGCAGTGAGTTTGAGGCCAGCCTGGGCTACACAGTGAGTTTAAGGCCAGTCCGAACTACATAGTGAGACCCTGTCTCAAAAAAAAAAAAAAAAGTAATAAAGATTAACATGTTAAATTTTCTATATAGTATTAACAGAGTAAATTGTATAGTATGAAAATTCTTCATTAGGTGTTATTTGTAGCAACTAGTTGCATTTTGAGAGACAATCCAGTTAAATCCACCATTTGCTGTTAGTACAGAAAACTTCTTAGTCTTATTTATTTTTTTGAGAAAAATGTAGATGATGATAATTAAAATGGAGAAAACAATTTTTGCATAGAGATGTAAAATACTATTCACATCTGTATATATTCATGTAATTGTTAAAAAATCTTAAGTATTTACAGACATAGTAAAACATATGCCATGTGTTCTTTCATATGTAAAAACTAAAAGCAAACATCCATCTGAAAGCAGAAAGCTACTCCCCAAAGCTACAAAGAAAAAGGGTTCAAGAGGGCTTCATAGGAACTAGGTAATGAGCACTAAAAGAGGTTCTAGAGTTCTAGGGTTCTAGAGCACAGTGGGGTGACTAACTCAATATCGAATTACAGATTTTATGAATAAGAGGCATTTAAAGTTTCAAAGTATAAAGAAATGATAAGAATGTGCAAATACGAACTGTGCTTGCATGATCACTATATATCGGATACGTGCTGAAATATCACACCACACCCAATAAATGTGTACAACCATGATGGTTCATTAACCAAAAAGACCGCAGTATTCACACCAGCAAAACTAGTCGAGAAATACCCCATATATCTTTCATTTACTTTTTAAAAGAGCTTTAAATTTTAAAACTTTTATAGTTATGCATCTATTAAAATATATCAGAGGTAGACAGCGTGAAAAGGATACTTTCAACGGTGAAAGAAAACGACATTCTGTCCACCAGGTGGTGCTAACGGGCAAAACGAAGGCAATCCGCAGAGCATAAATAAAACCATCTAATGATTTCTGAAGATGCAGACCTTGGTGGATACCACCTTTAACCGCTATCCATTAATCACAGCGTATACGAAAATCTCATCTAATGGTAAAAAAGTCTCACAAAGAAAAGAATAATAAAATTCCTATTTTAAAATCAACTCAGGTGGCTATTTCCTCTTCAAACAATTTGTCCCAGTGAAGAAAAACATCCAAGAAGCAAAGAACGTGCTTCACGTTACGTGCAATGAGACCTATCTGGAAAACCTTACCCTTGTTAATACAGAGAACACAAATGAGAAGTGAACACGTGTTCTCATGGGTGTGCTTCAAACTCTTACGCAGTATCACAATGAAAAATTACTTCAATCATTTTCACCTTGTGCTCTCCACACGCTACCTATGTAGAACCCCACCTAACTTCAAGCCATCAGACAGCAGAAGACTGTAAGTGAAGAAATTGTCTGCTCATGTTCGCTAAAATAAAAATAATGGAGGTTTACTTTGTTTTTTTTTTTGTTTTTTTTTTTTTCTTTTTCTGCAGGACTGAAGATCAAATCCTGATCCCCAAGAGTGCTGGGCAAGGTCTCTACTACTGAGCTAGACTCTCACCCCTATACAGAGGGTTGAGGTATGTGGTTACAGACACACAAACCAACAGCACTTAGGAAACTGTTTTCTTTCACAGTACAGTACTAGTTTTCCTTGATATTAGGCTGCTATAGGGTAAGTATGAGACAAGAAAAGTCTACTGGCCAAATAATTGTGACATATAGAATATCAGGCAAGTGGCAATAAAATATAAGCCAGTAATAAACAATTTTTTAAAAGGCACAAAATTCTACCGTGGAATTTCTACCATGTAGTGAAGACATGTTCATGCACTACACAGGAGGGGTTCTGCCAAGCAAAAGGAACCAGTGTGCGATTTCATGTTTTGTTTCCTCCGTCAGTTTACGGTAAGGTCGTTGAATACGCCATAACTTCAAGAGAGACTATCTCTACTCCTTACATGAAGGCAAGACGTGCATCTCCAAATGTGTCCTACCATTATGAATGCATGCTTTCCATTCACAACTGATGCTGCTTGCACGGTTGGCCAGTCAATGAAGACACCGCACAGAACTTAGGCATCAGTGAGGTGAATCCTTTGCAAGATGAAGGTAAATAAAAACAGACCTTCCCCTGAACTGTAATGCTTTGCTCGTTCTCAGCACTTGTCTTCTCTCTTCCTTATATAAATTTAATGTACTATATATACACCAAATTTTATAACAGGGTTTAAAGCTTATGAATTTCAAACATACAGTGACTGACTAGGATGATGAAAGCACAATTACAGCAGGAAAGGGACCATATATTTTAATCTTCATATCTTCAGGGACAATGCCTGGCATTTAATGGGTATCTAATAAAAGGATCTCTCAGTTGAATGCTGTAGGACCCTTCCACTTTGTTTATTAAATTAATAACTCTGAAAATTGTAAGGGAATTGATGTTATTGAAACCTTGGGAATTCTTATTCCTACTGACTAATGGCTGTCATATATCAACTTGGATGTACAGAAAATTTGGATTTTGTTCTTGGATGGCCCTCTCTGTCATACAGAGGAACAAAAAAAAAGCAAGTACATTTTATGGAGTCCATGCAGGGAACTAGATGGGAGAACATTCCCTCCTCCTCTTTTAAGTGATATTAAAGACTTGTGTTGTTTTGCAAACAATACCAGGAAATGCCCCATCTTCATTTGAGGTGACCATAAAGCAACAAGTTGTTTTCATTGTTTCAAAAAGTATCTGAGAGGCATTGATTATTTCTTTTTTGTTTTTCATTGATTTTCTTTTACTGGCAATTCCAAATCCAAACTCAACCAAGCCAGGACTCGGAAGAGCAGAACAAGGGAAATATAATTCGGATGAGGAGCTTATTTTAGAATCTCTTTTGAAGTTTGCTATTGTCATCAACTTTTCCTTCCTGCTGAGAGTACCCTGACTCCAAGGTGTATCTGACAAAGATAGGCTTCCACCTGGGGGACAGCAACCACTTGACCACCTTAGGGATAAAGTAGCTACAAGGGGCTGCTGTGAGCTCATGGTAAGTCAGCATCTATTTCTAGAGACGTCTTGATCTTTGAGATGGACTGCCAGCAAGACCTAAAGCATCTGTCAATACAAACGGTTCTGTTTCTACTTTTCACTGAAGAAAAAGCTTTTTATGTTCAAATTATCAAACCTGAAAATTGAGTTTAATTTACTAGAACTCCCCTACAATTTTCTCCCAGCTGGTTAAAACATTCATGGTGTTGTTTCCTATGGATTACAGGGAATTACTGCATAGACGGAATGGCTATGACGGCCTTCCTCAAAGAGGCTAAGTGTCGACTATAAGCTGGATATGTATGTTGTGTGTACTTTGTACATGTTATGTGTATATGTATGCATATGTCATGTATATCTGTGTGTATGTGTATGTCATAGGACGTGTTAATTGGCCAAGAATCTGCTATACTAAATGTATCCTATAAATTGAAGGCATCTTTGTGATTTTTGTTTTTGGTACCGGGGATCGAACTCAGGACCTTGAGCTTGGCAGGCAGGCACTTGTGCCGCTGAGCTATATCCCCGGCTCATTTTTATGAATTTCCTAATTAAAGTAAGATATAAAAGTGTTTATAGTTGTGAAGCAGCAGGTAATTATGTAAGCATTTTAGCTATTAATCAAAGAAAAGAAAAATCGGAATTATACACAGAAAATTCAATAGAAATACAATAGGGTAAGTATGAGACAAGAAAAGTCTACTGGCCAAATAATTGTGACATATAGAATATCAGGCAAGTGGCAATAAAATATAAGCCAGTAATAAACCATTTTTTAAAAGGCACAAAAAACAGACTCAAGAAAATTTTGAAGTGAGATGAATAATTAAAAAGTGTAATGATTTTGGCCATCTTGTGACAATGATTTCTCTCTATAACTTAGTTGTTCAGTTCAGTAATCCTTCCTTTGCATTACTGTCACATATACATTTGAAGTGGGTAGGTTAAAATTCAGACTGCTGTCATATTTCAAGTAGAAGAATATTAAATATAGAAAATAGAGTGAGAATTGGACATGGTCTACTTTTACATGCTGTAATTTAAGAGAATTATTACTTATTCATCACACAGATACTTTAATAGCATCATAATCCTTAAGAGCATGTTTTGAACTCTGTAGCTCTGCTAGGTATCACAGAAGGGTTAATTATCATTACATGGTTCAGAGCTTACGACATAAAACCAAAGTTTAGTTTTATATATGATTTATTAGGGAAGGCGTAGGTCTAAATAAGAAATCCATCATTAGAAATTACTTGTATATTTATTTGATTACTTGATAGACAAATGGGCTAATGTTCCTATTTGCTTCATTAATGAATCGGGGTAAGGAAAACTCTTAATTAAAACGTGTGAGTATTTTGTAACCTTAATATGTAACAGCTTCCCTCATCTCAGTCGCTGCTGACATTTAAACTCCACGTGACCCTACTGTAAGGGTGCTGTACTATGTACTGCAGGCTGTTTAGCAAGATCCTGCTCACATTAGATGCTGCTGCCACCCTTTCCTGATTACGCCGACCAAAAAGTCTTCTGACTTGATAAATGTCCCTTGGAAGACAAA